CCTACGTTCGTTTGCTTTACTACTATCATAGAGCAGCAACGTTGCCTGATATGACAAAAGGTGAAAATAAATGAAATAACAAAAAATTACAGTTAAAAATGAATGGAAACTAAACAGAGAAGAATTAGATAAATCTGTGCCCATTATGCAGCCTCGTGAAACTTCGGTCAGAACCAAGCCGCAGGCAACATGCCTTTATTTCCATAAAATGGAAGTCCTCGCAGTAGGTAGACCCCCCAATATTAACCTGAATACGTAGACATAAACGACGACGAAATTTCAAATGATTAGCTCCAAAATTACCATGATCATTTGCAAAATTTTCCCTCCTATAGAACCATTAATCAATCTATGAAACAACGATTTATGACAACGGTAGAGGTTGACAGTCAGCTGACATTCAGCTATGCATGATCAGGTGTATTTTTAGCTAGCGTGGAAAAACCGTACTGCTTACAAGTTTGAATTCTTGCTTTTCTCTGCTCATATCATCCTATCAGCTGCATTGCAAAACTGCAAACAGCTTAAGGTCTGTTTTATTCAAAAATGATCAACTCCATAAAATGTAATGTCCCTGAAAACGGACATGGATGGAGGAGACAATAGTTCAGATATTTGCAAGAAACAAAAAAAATGTTCACGACGTTAAATGCTGACAGATATCGGAAAAGATGCACCTTGAAACCATGGTTTTGTTGAAAAAATCATGCAAAATTACTTGGTCCAGGTAAAGTTTTCTTATAGAAGGAATAGTTTGTTGCTTGTTTTAATTCGCCGTTTAATCAAATCACAGAATGTGAAAAGTTTGGCAAACCTGAAGAAAAACTGAGCGGGACACACTAACTTACAAAACTATGCCATAATTCAACTGTTCAGCTACGCCCTGAAGCTGTATAAAGCGATGATGGACAAATCGTCCAGAATAAGGTCATAAGCTACAGTAACAAGTTTAGCTGCATACCAGGCCTGTGAACGAATAGTGTCCTACTTGCACTAAGACCAGTCCTCGAGAATCGAAACAATACACAGAATGAAGTAGGGACATTCCCACTGTCATTCTAGACCGGAAAAAGATCAATTATAGAAGACGAAGTACAAGATACGACGTAGTGTGTGAACAGCGCAGGTTCCAGATAATTATTCCAGGCATACTGAAGGCTTGTATGACAGTGACAACGCTAGTTAAAACTACGATATCATCATCGTCAACCTTTCTCGAACAACGGCTGTCATCTAATACTGTAATCAGCACGGATGGCTCGTCACCTAGAGGTACAAGATCATTGACGATTTTAATTAGAATAACAGTTCTACTTCCCTGATTGCGAACTATGCTATCTAAGCATTAACATAACACCATCTGAAGCATTAACATACAATCAATAAACACCAGTAGATTCTAATTTAGAATTAGAGCAAAGCTGCCCATAAAACTTCCTCTCGAAAATGTACTACCCTCATAATGAGCCGGTATGGTAGCACAGTGTTTAAGAGGTCTGCTTTGAATGAAATCCGGTGCTGCGGGGTTTGATTCCGCTCGAGGGCCGTCTTTGTCTTATTCATGAATTCTCTTGAGCAAGGAATTTACCACGTATTGCTTCAGACCGCGGCTGCTCAGTCGATAAGGCGTCGAATTCAGAACCTATCGGTCCTGAGTTCAAGTTTCTGACAGGGTAAATCGTCTTTCTTCCTTCTGAGGTTGATAAATGAATACAACTCTGTGAGAAGGAAACAAGAGACTACAAGCTGCACTCGCCAGATGGCTGTAGAGTCTGCCTGAAAAAGAATGTATCGCTCCTGACTGATGATACAGAAACGGAGATCAGTACCGCATCATCAACTTCATCAAAAGAAGGACGCCAAAATGGCAAAATCGTGAAAGTATCAGGAAGGCCGAAATCTGAACATAAACAAACTTCCCTTTATTCTCCTTCAAAACGAGATATTCTTTTGCAGATGATGTCAGAAGTAGTCCTTGCAAACAAACTACTAGTTGCCACTGCTCGAATAGCCGATATTTAAGATGTAATTATCGATGGATGAGGGGGGAGTGGAAAACATGAACACCGATGTTACGCAAATTCCTTTTGTGTGAAGAAGGGAGTACGCCGCCATTAATTCAACCAGAGACTGAATCCTGATTTAACTTATTGTGCGTAATAATATCAAGTTTAACAAGTAACCGAGCATTAATCATGTGACGATGAATATATAATGCATTCGCTGGGTAACTTCTGAGACTCAGCAGCACACAGTTACAAAAGTAGTATTGATAAGGATATCAAACGCAGAACATGTTTGCTCTGTTTAGTTATCAGTAAAATAGTTTCAAAAAGCAAAACATATTTACCTACACCGTCTTTCTCTCCTGGCCGAGGTGACCTGGTCGTATCTAAATGATTAGGCATAAATGGATCATGACTACAATAAATTTACGAGAAACTGAGAAAGCGAATGTGCCGGGGTGTTCGTCAAACAGTTTCTTCAAAAGTGTGCTCTTGCCGCTTCCGGAAGGGCCTGAGATGACGATCACGTTAATGACCATGACCGACACGTTCGCTCGGCTGAAAGAAAATGAAGAGTTCTCTATCACAGATATGAAGGTTAAAAAGTAATACCAGCGCGCCAACAGCAAATTTGAACTCAAAGCATGATCAATGGCACAAATCGATCAGTTTGCAGTGATCAAAATTACATGCCTTTTTGATGATCAATATCTGTGTACTGGATGCTTAGCTACTGCTCAGTTTGCTGGCATACCTTGACACCCTGAGACTAGTCGCTGAAATCGATTGCGATACTGTCTTTAGAACCAAGGATATTGATTCTTTTGAGTGCATAATTTTCTTTATGTTTTTAGCATGTCATCAGCATTGCAAAAGATCAAAGCCCATGACAAATAAAAGACAAAAATCTTCACGGTTTCTTGCTTGTAACGTAAGTGACACTCAACTGCAGCTCCATATCTTAATGGTTTATTACATATCTACAGGAGTAAATATGTTCTTAGCTGTTCATATATCTGTACACCGAGATGATGCCATTTATAGTGTTTGTCACGAATAAAAGGCCAATGAATCTCTACGACTTGACATTTTCTTCCAGGTAGTGGCCAGCTCGTCAACCAGATATTAGGCCAGGAGGCTGGGATAGTCGACGCGCGGGAAAAGCTGGCGTACCCCTGGTTTTTATCAACTCAACACTTCTGCATATTAAAGGGTCGCTAAGCATGAAGAACAAAGTGCCGTCACCAGAAAATAGTGCAAAGCAATGACCATACATCTTAAAAGAACCCGAGGGCCAAAAAGTAACAAGGTTCGCAGCTGAAACAATAGGTTAAAACAATAAGTACGTACGGTGTGGACTTGAAATTTACCTGCTGTCCAACTAGTGTTTATTTTTTATTCCGTCAATACTTACGCTTTCTAGTAAACCAACATAAGCATATGTGTTGCTGATGAAAGCGCATAAACTGAAGCAACAGATTGCATATCATGAGAAAGTAGGATATCATTCACATACAGTAGTCGCTATCTTCGAAGCAAAAACCACTCAACGATCAGTGAATCGAAAGAGTGAAAAATGGCACAATCGTAGTGGCATACCGGAAGATTTCCCCCATATGTTCAAGGCAGCCGTCGACTCCAACGAGAGGACCGGAAGCCCCCTCCCAATTCACAATTCTTCTAAAAACATCTCAATTACGGTCAGGGTAACGTAATGATGCGTCTATGGATGCTGATGTTCTAAAGTCAGCTGTTGTCTGCACAAAATCTCTTTATAGAAGTACGGCGATGATTAGGATCTGTGAACTTCGAGCGACTTTCTAAAGTGTGGCAAGACCGATCTATCCAAAAAGTAACAAAAATTACCATAATGAAAGCCGATATCTTCTCAATCCTGATGAACAGCCTCGAAACTTTTACCATTTTAAAACTCCATTAAAAGATGCTGGGCACCTTTCAACAGCACTCTCTGCGGAACAGTCTGAAAGTGTGATGGTTCCATGGAATGAACAATGAAAACATCTTGGAGATGACCGGCCTGAGAACATTGCCTAAAGAAATCAGGGATAAGCGTATGTCGTGGTTTGACAGAACCATCCAGAGAGGGAACAGAGGCCTATTCAAAATCATTTTCTTCTGGGAAGCAAAAAATGGCTGCAGACGCGTCGGAAGTCAACAACACACCTTAAAGCAGCTGCTAGGGAAGAATTTCCTTGCGACTAGAGATATGACCTTTGCGGCATCAACCAACATCGCTTAAATCATGCCGAGACATCAGATCGTTAGATCATTAATCCAGGTATTAGGTCTTTGATCCTGATACCTGAAATGGCGATGACAACAACAAAAAACAACAATCTCCTTTCAATCGCTTTTCTGTTGACTTTCAACCTGCATTTTTCGAAAGGACTTGTAAATCGAGGCATGGAAGATTAGGCTGAACTCTTCGATGTACTATTTGCTACACAGGTACTCAAGGATTTCCACCGGAACAAAGAAACTTAAGCATTTCCGCATAACTGTCACAATGACCATCAGGCCGGACGGTCAAAAACAAATATAAAATTAGTCAGGAGAACGCAGTAATGCAGAAAATAAGTTGTTTTCTTGTTGACGAAACCACCTTGGAAAGCAGTTATCTTGCACTCTGGCTATGCCTCTGCCAAGTATGTGTTATGCTGACGGAAGGATTAGTGCTGCAAATACAGAAATATGGATTTGTTGAGAGACTGATCATGTGAAAATTCATAACAAGATCATATCGAACACATAAGCTGAAATATACTTGCTTGTAAACTACTTCTTCGTCAGATCGAGAGCTTCCAACACCTACGTAGCCTGGACATAAAGTCTCAATGCCAGACAAGAGAGTTTCAAGACGGACAGGCGACAGACAAGAAGTCGACGG